TAGTTATATATGGGGACGGTAGTTTTTCATCTTCAGTTGTCTCTGATGCAGCTTATACGAAATAATTGTTGTTCTGTTAACTGAATACCACTCTGTAATTGCAAAAAAGTTGCAACTGTTTTGTTGACATTCTGAATGCTTCTAAGTAAATACAATTTAAAAAAAAAACTCCCAGACACAGGAATTGGTTTGTCGCCAAGTGTGGCGGCGCATTCATGTAATCCCAGCACTCAGAAGGCGGAGGCAGGAGGATCGCCGCGAGTCTGAGCCTAGCCTGGGCTACAAAGCAAGAGTCTGTCTTCAAAATCCAAAACAAAACTAAGAAAATGAAAAGAAAAGAAGAATACGGAAGATTTACCGAAGAAACCAGTAGGGGACATCTATAGACTCCCACACCCTGGGAAGGACCTCTACCGGTCGCCAGTGTATATACATAAGCAGATGCACAGCACATACTCGTCACCTGAAGCCTCCTTCAGGTCTGCCCCGATCCGAACAGAGCCGCCCCCTCCCAACCCCCAGACCAGGACAGCGGGTAAACCCCACTCCTCGGGGCGGGGCAGGGACATCCTGAGAGAAAAGAGCTGCTCCTGGGCCCCAGGCGACGGTAAGGATGGCAACTCACTGCAGGAGGCGAGCGTAAAACTCCTCGGTCGCTCGGTTAGTCCGCGCCCACATCCCTCTCAGCCTCAGTAGGGTCCGGAACCGCCAAACTGAATTGAGCGCCCGGACGCCGACGTCAGAGGCCGTGACCCGCCCAGCCGGAACTACTTTCTCAGAGAACAAGTTCTTTGACAGCAAAGTTAAACTTTTTTTTCTGAGAGTATCAAGTTGTGTTTCCCATTGCAATAGTCTTCCATTCGCATCCGGAAAAAAAAAGGTAAAATAAATGCAGGGGGATGCGGGAACAGATAATGCTTCTCGCGAGATTTTGCCAAGCTCCCTCAAGGATTAGTCCGCAAAAAAGAGTCCCTCTTTTCTAAGCACCCTTATTAGCGTTGCAGAAAATAAAAGTGTATTATTTCCACACATAAAGAAGAAGTACGACTTTTTCTGTTTTAAGGGCGTAGTAGGGCGTTAGCTTGTGTCTCTGAGTAGGTTCTGAGGCGTGGCTAGGTGGTGAAACCGGCGAAGGATACATATAGGGCGGGAGTGCTAGGCACTTCCTTTTCCTGTGGGAGCCGCCGGGTCCGGAGGAGCGTGGCTTTGTCCTCTCCCCGCCATGGTGAGTGTCCAGCTGCTTGACTGGACTATTACCGGGCCCCGGGACCAGTAGGGAAGGATGAAGGGTTCAGGATGTAAGGTCCCAAGGCGAGGGCGAGAGCAGGAGGAGATGAGCACCCAAGCCGTCTGCTGCTGGCGGGAGAGTGTGGTGGGGAGCTGCGGCAGCCATCTTAGACGCAACGTGGGTGCCTGGGCCGGGCCTACTGGAAGCGGTCGGAGGAGGCCGGCGCCTCTGACGGCGAGCAGTGGGATCCCGGCAGCCCTGCGGCTTTTGAAAACTTGGCTGTGCAGGAAATGAAAGTCAGGGGGTCTAAGGCGGAATTAGAGAGGCGACCTGCACCTTCTGTCCTATGTGCTGCCTAGTAAAACGTACTGCAGTCTTTTAAAGTCGGAGGCTTAAATATTTACTTTGAAGGCTTTGTCTAGCTTTGTAATCGTTCTTGTAAGTTTCCTGAGTCTTCTCCCTTGAAAAATTGTTTTATTTGGTATCTTAAGTGTTGGACTTCCTCGGCCAGAGCCCACGACGGCCGTTACGTTATGCGAGTGGCGGCGAGCTCCGGCGGTGGGTTGGAGTGTTGAGCTGTACTAAAGGCTGAGGGCTGGGGGGATTGGAGGAGGCGGCCGTGGTTCAGTTCGAAACAGCGATGAGAGAAATTGGCCTGAAGCACGAGAAGTATGAGACGAGGCGGGGAGGCCTTAGGTGCAGACCTGGGGAGGGGCGGCTGGCGGTGTTACCTGTAGAAGGTTTGGGGTCGGACCCCAGGGCCTCAGAAAGAAAAGTATGGGAGAGGAGAGAGCAGGCTGTGTGTGCCACCCCGCGGGGGCTTTGGTTTTACGCTCACATGGGAAGGGAAAGGGTTGAACAGGAACAAGGTGGGTCTTTATTAGCAAGGATTTGGACATTATTTCTATGAGACAAAAAAACTGGAACAGTTTAGAGTAGTGAACCGTGGAGGCAATCTTACATCAGACTGGCTTTTTAATATTCTGATAGGTATTGTCTTTCAGTGTAACAGTTTATTGAATACAGACCTGCTGGTGCAATTTGTGTTGTTTTTGACCAGTGCTTAAACTTTAAGCATCTGCCTAATAAATCAGGACCGTTCTTTAACACTTGAAGGTATGGGGAAGAATCGCCTCTAATATTGCTTGCCAGTAATAAACGTCTCCCCCACCCACCCCAGGCTTGTGCTCGTCCCCTGATATCCGTGTACTCTGAAAAGGGGGAGTCATCTGGCAAAAATGTCACCTTGCCTGCAGTGTTCAAGGCTCCCATTCGACCAGATATTGTGAATTTTGTTCACACAAACTTGCGGAAAAACAACAGACAGCCATATGCTGTCAGCGAACTAGCAGGTATGGATTTGCATTCTTCCTAGGTTGCTCTTTTGAGGCCTGCTTTACAGTCGTGATGAAATTCCACTCCATTGGTCCGTGTTTCTGAACCACATGATTTTCTTGGATGTTCTGATGCTGTCTGTTATGTACATGCACAAGTCATACATTGGTCCAACTATGTAGCTAAAATTTCATTTTATTCCCAACTTCAGGTCATCAGACCAGTGCTGAATCTTGGGGGACTGGCAGAGCTGTGGCTCGAATTCCCAGAGTTCGTGGAGGTGGAACCCACCGTTCTGGCCAGGGTGCCTTTGGCAATGTATCCTTTTGTTTTGCTACCTGTACTGGTTGGTGCCTGTGGAATTTAGTAGGCTAAGCCTGGCTTATTCATATTAATGTATGCTGCAACATCTGTTCAGAATGCTTTCAGCAGGTATGGAATCGGGATTCACAGAGAAAGTTGGCTTGCAATGATGTCGTAATTTGCGTCTTACTCTGTTCTCAGCGACAGTTGCCTGCTGTCAGTAAGCTGGTACAGAAGGTTGACGAAAATTGTTACTGAGCAAGACCTAACCTAGTTCCTAAACTTTAGATGATTCTTAACTAAGAAAATAGATGTGTCGGGGAGGCCGCATGTTTGCACCAACCAAAACCTGGCGCCGTTGGCACCGCAGAGTCAACACAACCCAGAAGCGGTATGCCATCTGCTCCGCCTTGGCCGCCTCAGCCTTGCCAGCGCTGGTCATGTCCAAAGGTTGGTGTTACTTTTTGTAAGTGTGCCTTGCTGGCCCAGGAGTTTGGGCCACAGGGAAAATTTTTGCAGTATTTCTTGTGGCATCTTAAACTTTCAAAATGATGAAATTCCACTTAATTGGTCCGTGTTTCTGAAACACATGATATTTGTGGAAATTCTGACTTGGCAAATTGATTTGCTTTTCTGGGTTACATGAGTTTAATTTTTCAAAAGCTTTGAGGTAACCAGGTCGGTCTTTAATTGGCTTTGTCAGGTCATCGAATTGAGGAAGTTCCAGAACTTCCTTTGGTGGTGGAAGATAAAGTTGAAGGTTACAAGAAGACTAAGGAGGCAGTTTTGCTCCTGAAGAAACTTAAAGCCTGGAATGATATCAAAAAGGTAGGTTAATGAGCATATTTACAGTTTTTTGGTAGGTTATACTGTGGTGTTCAGAGAACAGTAATAAAGTATAGACAGGTTTCAGGATGTTTCTAGTAGATTTGGTTGGTTTACAAAGTGGAACGGAGGGGAGTAGAGAGGAAGAAAGATTGCTCAGCACTGGCCTGCAGTAGTGAGAGCTTTAGATCCATGAAGATCGACTGCAGAGGTGAGCTCTTGATACTAAAGCTGCTGGCTTTGTAGGTCTATGCCTCTCAGCGAATGCGGGCTGGCAAGGGCAAGATGAGAAACCGCCGTCGCATCCAGCGCAAGGGACCTTGCATCATCTATAATGAAGACAATGGCATCATCAAGGCCTTCAGAAATATCCCGGGTAATTCACACTTTATATGTATTGTTTACTTATACTGTATCAGCACACTCGCCGTTGATAATGATGAATTCCGCTTCATGGTCCGTGTTTCTGAAGTCAGTGACTTGGTGGAAGTTCTGATACCTGGCTGGATGAATTGCAAACCATTGATTTTGAAATTTCACACTTAATACTGTTCTTCCATACCTTAAGTAGCACTTAAGCCATAAAGATGATTTATAACTCTTCTTTTGAAATACAGGCTTCTTCATTCTCTTCCCTTTAAAGGCATTACTCTGCTCAATGTAAGCAAACTGAATATTTTGAAACTTGCTCCTGGTGGGCATGTGGGGCGTTTCTGCATTTGGACTGAAAGTGCTTTCCGAAAGTTAGATGAGCTATATGGCACTTGGCGAAAAGCTGCTACCCTCAAGAGTCACTATAAGTGAGTGTTCTCAGATTCATACAGGGTTGGTTTAAAGTGTACATGGACAAGGGGCCGGGGAGATGGCTCAGTGGGATAAGCACTTCCTTTCCTGGCAAGGGCAAGGGTCTGAGTTCAATCCCTCGTTCCACCAAAAACAAAAAAGTATACATGGATATGCACTGGTTTGCATACTTTCAATACTGGATTGTGTTTTACTCACATTTATGTTCTACATAACATGCAGTGCATTACAAGTATGTAGTAGTCCGTATTTTATAAGCAGTGTAAGTTCTGGAAAATGAAATGGTAAATCTGTTCAGGGCCAGGGACATAGATCAGCGTCCTCCTTTGCAATCTTGAGGTCATGAGTTTGATTCCTAGTTCTCAAATTTGTGTGTGTTTAGTCAGCTCTATAAGAAGAGAGAATTGAGAATCTGTTGTCCATCTCTCCTTCAGCCTGCCTATGCACAAGATGATCAATACAGATCTGAGCAGAATCTTGAAGAGTCCAGAGATCCAAAGAGCCCTCCGAGCACCACGGTAAAGTTATGACATTTACTGTATAGTTTTTTAGAAGACATTTTAGCGATGTGCATAATTAGATTAAATGTTGGTATATTGCGTACCTTTTATAGCAAGAAGATTCATCGTAGAGTCCTGAAGAAGAATCCTCTGAAGAACCTGAGAATCATGCTGAAGCTGAACCCATATGCAAAGACCATGCGCCGGAACACCATTCTTCGGCAGGCCAGGAATGTAGGTGTTCATTTCCCCCTTTCTTGCAGAACTGGGGATTGAACTCAGGCCTTTCGCTTGCTAGGCAAGCGGGCTTATTCTACTTTGCTATCTCCCCAACTCCTTCCTTTAATTGTGATGGACAAAAAGGGTTTTTTTAATTCTTACACTTTCTGCATATTTTGTTGCAGCACAAGATCCGTCTGACTAAAGCAGCTGCGCGGGCAGCCAAACAGGAAGAGAAGGAAGTTGCTGGCAAGAAGCCTGTGGAAGAGAAGAAAGGAAAGAAAGCTGCTGGTCCCAAGAAACCTGTGAAGAAGCCTTTGGGGAAAA